ACCTGGGAAATTTGGCGCCCAAAATGTCTTTCTGACCATACTTTCTCCAGCTAAAGACATCATCTTGAGGTCCTTCTAAGCCTCTTTCTGGGCTAATTCTCACTTTTTCTGACCACTTTGGTAACATCTTCCTGCAAAATTCCCCCAAAAATCCCAAATTTAATTTATAGTCTTACAGAAAGATGAGATTTTTCTATCATGAGATTATTTAATTTTGGTGAATACTCAAATTTAGTTTATTATAGAAAGATGAGATTTTTCTATTTGAAATTATTCAATTTGGTCAATTTGTGTGGGAAATTTTGTATTGTTCATACCTTTTCTTTGAATTGAAAATGTAATCTTGACGATGACTCTCGCTTGATCCTACAAATTCTTCACTTCTTGGACTTCCGTTGGTGGAAGCTGGAGATTCCGGAACTCCGACGGAATTCGCCACCGGAATTAAAGTAACCGGCGCCGGAATAATTTGTACGGACGGTGAAGAGGACCAGTTTAGCATGAGAAGAGATTTCTCGTACGAAGAAAGTATCTGCTGCACGAGAATCTCAGTCGTCTCAGCCGTCGCCGTCACCGGAGAAGACGACGGAGATGGAGCTTCTCCGAGTAGTCGTGCCTGAAGTTTTTTTGCAGCCTTAAATCCAAGAATAAGCTCGCTTAGCAATGTCTTCTGCTCCCAACATAACACATCTTTACCTTCCATTACTCAAAATATGGAGTTTTTACTTTTAATATAAAATCTTAATTTCGCAATTTAAGAAAATTTTGGTGTGAAATTGAAATAACAAAATATAATGAAAAGTAGATATAATTGTGTGCAAGTTATATAACCAAGAAATGAGTCGAATTTTAAGGTATGGTAGATAAGTATAGAAATAAGATTGTTAGAAGAGAATGATATGATGAGAATGAGAGTGGTATAGGGTTTGTGGAAAAATGGATGAGTGTTGGTTTGGAATATAAAGGAGTTGGATTTGGAGTGTTTGAAAATTTGACCAAAAATGACGAACCATAAAATAAATTCAAATATTTTAAAATTAGATTTATTTATTTATAAAGAGAGACAAAAGTTTCAAAGTAAAAGAAAAGTCTTTGGTATAAGGAAGTGTATATAGGGCCAGAGTGTAAATAAGTGGGGTGGTGGTAGTGAATGAAGTGCAAGGTCAAAGGCTGACCAATTCAACATTGCAAATTTGTTAATTAAT